TGCAGTTACATCAACGCAGTGTCACAAGCTTTGCAGTTACATCAACGCAGTGTCACAAGCTTTGCATTTACATCAACGGCTATCTTGACTGATTACCGTATTTTCCCTCTTTAGGATGCCGATCACAAGCCTTTACATAAACCTTGCATAATACTGCACTCACATCGTCACACGCTTATCACTACACCCCTGCATTTACATCAACGGCTATCTCGATTGATTACCGTATTTATCCATCATTAGCGTAGACAGTCTAGGGTAGCGGGCGGCTCGGTTTACCTTTTTACAACTCATTTGCCCTCATTAGGATGCCGCACCATCAGCTGCGAATGATAACAGCGGTGGCGAAGCTCTGAAGCGTCCGTTCCCCGGCAACGCCGAGTACGCACCGGACAGCATCCCTCAGCAACCGATCGCAGCAGCGACACCGCTGGATGCTGGCGAGGCGGCTCAGTCAGCTCAGCCGGAGGAGAGAGCGGAAGCGGCGGCGGAGGACTACATCGGCAGCGGCTGTCGCGTCACGCCCGCGGTCTCGGCGACGTTGGACTCGGACGACGAAGGTAGCATGGAGAGCAGGCAGCCGATGAGGTCGGCAGGAAACACGCGCAGAAGCGTATGCTCGCGAGTAGCGTAGATGCAAGGCTAGTTGGCACCGCGCCAAACACCAAGCGATCGTCGGCTTCCTATCGAGTGATGTCTTCCCCTGATATGCTCCATTTCCTGAACAGTGCAGATGTAGGTCTAGTTGGTACCGACTCTACCGCAGCTCAAAAGAGATCTGCCGCCTATAAAAATGATGTTTCCCCTGATATGCCTCCATTTCCTGAACAGTGCAGATGTAGCGTCTAGTTGGTACCGACTCTACCGCAGCTCAAAAGAGATCTGCCGCCTATAAAATGATGTCTTCCCCTGATATGCTCCATTTCCTGAACAGTGCAGATGTAGGTCTAGTTGGTACCGACTCTACCGCAGCTCAAAAGAGATCTGCCGCCTATAAAATGATGTCTTCCCCTGATATGCCTCCATTTCCTGAACAGTGCAGATGTAGGTCTAGTTGGTACCGACTCTACGCAGCTCAAAAGAGATCTGCCGCCTATAAAATGATGTTTCCCCTGATATTGCTCCATTTCCTGAACAGTGCAGATGTAGGTCTAGTCGGTACCGATTCTACCGCAGCTCACAAGAGGGCTGCCGCCTATAAAATGATGTCCTCCCCTGATATGCTCCATTACCTGAACAGTGCAGATGTAGGTCTAGTGGGTACCGACTCTACGCAGCTCAAAAGAGATCTGCCGCCTATAAAATGATGTCTTCCCCTGATATGCTCCATTTCCTGAACAGTGCAGATGTAGGTCTAGTTGGTACCGACTCTACCGCAGCTCAAAAGAGATCTGACCTGTATAAAATGATGTCTTCCCCTGATATGCTCCATTACCTGAACAGTGCAGATGTAGGTCTAGTTGGTACCGACTCTACCGCAGCCTCAAAAAGAGATCTGACCTGTATAAAATGATGTCTTCCCCTGATATGCTCCATTTCCTGAACAGTGCAGATGTAGGTCTAGTCGGTACCGATTCTACCGCAGCTCACAAGAGATCTGCCGCCTATAAAATGATGTCTTCCCCTGATATGCTAAATTTCTTAAACAGTGCAGATGGAGGTCTAGTTAATACTGACTCTACTCTAGCTCAAAAGAGATCTGCTCTGTATAAAATGATGTCTTCCCCTCGTATGCTCCATTACCTAAACAGTGCAGATGGAGGTCTAGTTGATACTGACTCTACTCTAGCTCAAAAGAGAATCTGCTCTGTATAAAATGATGTCTTCCCTCGTATGCTCCATTACCTAAACAGTGCAGATGGAGGTCTAGTTGATACTGACTCTACTCTAGCTCACAAGAGATCTGCTCTGTATAAAATGATGTCTTCCCCTGATATGCTCCATTACCTGAACAGTGCAGATGGAGGTCTAGTTGATACTGACTCTACTCTAGCTCACAAGAGATCTGCCCTGTATAAAATGATGTCTTCCCCTGATATGCTAAATTTCTTAAACAGTGCAGATGGAGGTCTAGTTGATACCGATTCTACTCTAGCTCAAAAGAGATCTGCCCTCTATAAAATGATGTCTTCCCCTGATATGCTCCATTACCTAAACAGTGCTGATGCAGGTCTGGTAGGCGATGATTCAATAGAAGCACAGAAGCAATTGCCGACACCGAATTTCTATCGCATGGCTTCGCCTTCCATGATCCACTACTTGAACACCGGTCATGTTGCACACCAAAAGCGTCTCGACCCAAAGTCCCCACACGTTCGCGCTGTGCCCTCTAGTCTTAGACTCATCACCTCGCGAGAGTTGGTTCAGTATTTAAGGACTCACGGCAGAGCGCTGTCCAAGGAGCACGGTGCAGCAGAACCAAGATCAGTCGAGTTGTAACTGTATCATGTTTCTCTGAAGACAAAGTCGGCTAAAGAGCACCCGTATCTTGTTCGAATTGTGCATCATGTTCTACATTTGGGATCTTATCAAAACAAAATTATCAAAATTATCAAAACTCAAGTTTTAGGCACAAGATGTTTTGTTGATTTTTTTAACGAGATGACATCAGTTGGTTTAGGCTAAGAGTTGAGATACGTGGTTGCTCGTGACCTGGAATTCCTTTTCAACGATGATTTATGGAACAATACTTAATGTTGCTATCTGTCAATTGGTTATGCAAACAAAATTTTGCTTCTGATTATTCAGTACGATCTTAGTGTTATATTAATATAAAACGCGCATTAGTTTCAGCTAGCTTTGCCGGTTTTGATCTCAGCTTTTATTGTCTTTATTGTGTTCAGTCAAGAGTCCATCTATTTTAGTCTGTAAAATATATTAAGTCTATTTCATCTAATTAAATCATTAAATAACTAATATCATTTTATGTAATGTAATAATTAATGTTAGAATACATAATTACAACAAATTACTGAACCTAATTACATATATATATTAACGTATAATACGTAAAATCCGTACGCCGCAATCACGGAAAACCACGACGCAGTGTGATGATATGTCAGTAACGGAAAAGGTGTTAGACTACAAAATACTACTGACGTCTATTGGCTTACATTTCAAGAATCTATGGAAATCTGTAGAAATCTTAATAACTTTTTATTGAATGATTTCCAGTTCTTGTGCTTGCATATTTTGTTGCTTCACAGCTTCTTTATGATGACTTATATGGTCTGATTGCTTGTGCATTCCTGGAAGCTTTACTCTAGCTGGGGTTGATTGATTAAAAGCTTATAGCAAGGAAGTGAGATCTTTGTTTGCCTTCTTGTCTGTTTGAAAATTAATGCTAATATGATCTGTAATAGCTATCCATTCCAATTTACATCACGCAAAGATATTCCCACATGAAGCGCTATAGAGTCATCAAGAGTCACCAATCACCGGAACAACATATAAGTTTGTACTTACAGGTGGTTTCCAATCGGAACAGGTTGAAATTCCTCAGCAAATAGTCATGCAATGTCAGGAATTGCAGGTTGAGTTTAGGCAATGCAAGGCACCCTACGAAACGAGAGGGAAATGGATATTACCAAAAATACATCACCATTACTAAAAACAAAAAACACTAATAATATACCACCTAACTAATGAGAATGGGGCCAATTTCGAAAATTCCCATCTACCGAAATTCACTGTCAAAAAGATACATTCTTGTGGCCATGTCCCAACCTCAAACTGTTGATCTTTAAAACTATGTGTTCACACGACAGTTTTCTATATTTTTGTTTACATACGTTATACGCATGTCTTTACAGAGTCAAATCACAGAATAATATGTTTCATTGCTTAAATGCCATATTACAAACTGAAAACTGTCAACATTCACAACAACTTCCAAGCAATGAGGCATACGACAGGTTTGGCATCTCAATGGCAAGCTGGATCTACTGTTATTGTCACATTGTAGAATAAGTATTGTTAGACATTTATACATTAGGCAAATGCCGGTTTGGGAACTACTGCCCATGACTTGGTAACCTAGGTAATATCAAAAATTGATCATCTGGAAAACTACAGTTGCATGAGTCACCAGACAATCTATTTTTGATATTACCTAGCTGTTTCGTACCATGCCCCAATGCACACACGACAGAACATAATACCAAGAGAAATTATTCCTACCCTCTCCGGAAAAGTACTCCGTGGGAACTATGTTTTCATCCCACAAGATTGCTTCTGTTGGGTAGAGGGGCATCTCATTGAGAGCCTCTAGCTGGGAGGGCCGTCTCTCATGCCTAGACACCTACAAACAACCACACCTGTTAACACCTGTATACAGCCACACCTGTAGACACCTACAAACACCCACACCTGTCAAAACCCTAGACACCTGTAAACAACCATACTCATAGACACCTGTAAACAACCATACTCCTAGACACCTGTAAACAACCATACTCATAGACACCTGTAAACAACCATACTCATAGACACCTGTAAACAACCATACCCGTAGACACCTGTAAACTATCATACTCGTAGACACATGCGTGTATGTAAACAGGTACAGCACGCTAACCCATCAGACGTCGCAATGCCTTGGCACCACCACTCCTCCCCCCTGCCCTCGCCCTCCGCCCTGCACAGCGCCACCTACCAGCAGCTCTATCGCATACGTCTCGCCCGGCGGCGCCCTCTCCCCCTGCACCCTCGCCCCTGCACAGCGCCACCTACCAGCAGCTCCTTCGCACACGTCTCGCCCTCGCCCCTGCACAGCGCCACCTACCAGCAGCTCCTTCGCACACGTCTCGCCCTCGCCCCTGTACAGCGCCACCTACCAGCAGCTCCTTCGCATACATCTCGCCCGGCGGCGCCCCCTCTCCCCCTGCGCCCTCGCCCCTGCACAGCGCCACCTACCAGCAACTCGAGCAGCAGCTCCTTCGCGTACGTCTCCGCCTCGCTCTCGCCGTCGCCCTCGCCGGCCACCAGGCGGAGCTGCGCGGCGATCTCCCGCAGCTGCCGCGCGTCGAGCGCGCCGAAATGCTCGAGCAGCTTCGCGCGATCATCGACGCTGGCGACGTTGGCGAGAGAGAATCGTCGCAACGCACCGTCGAAACGCCGGAAGGCGGCGGTCTGGAGCGAGCCGATGCGGCCGTAGTGCAGCTGCGTCATGTCGTGGTCGGTGAGGGCTTCGCCGGTTAGATCGTTGATCTCGAAGCCGGCGTAGAACTTGAGCATGTCAAGCAGCTGGAAAGGAAGGGGAGAAAGGATGAGAGAGAAAAAGAGAGAGAGAGGGGGGGAGGCAGGGTGCTGGAGGGCGGGTGGGTATGTGGTGGGTGTCGTCGCCGGTCAGTCAAGTGGCTATTGTTGTTGTTGTTATTGTTATCGTTGCTTTGCTTTGCTTATGGATAGTATATCTATTGTGTTGACAACGCTATTAATGTCAACAACAGATGTTACACGATTACATTTGCAACGTGAGATGTCACATGAGTATACAGAGAGCACAAGAAAGGCAAAACTCTCATATAGAATAATAGTCAGTGAAATTCCTCTCAGCAACTGACGCAAGGAACTTCGAACACGATCACCGAAATCACTCGAATCACTGCGAGAAACGAAGAATCGAAATGGACCCAAAATGGACCTTAATGGCTCATAGATTGCAAGTAAATTTTGGACAAGTAAAATCAAAATACGGACAGTAAAAATTGCTTCTTGTTGGCCGACAGGACAACCAGATCTGACAATAAGCGTCAAGGCCTTGGACTCACTCGTGCACGCGCGACCTGCCGAGCAACCTCCCCGTGCGCGCTCACTGCTCACCTGGTCAAACAAGTGGCCCTCCTCGCGCTTCTTCAGTCCGGACAGCTGGCATTGTGTGACGAGCTTGGCGTCATCTAGGAGAGTGTTGAAGAATCGGCGCGTGTGCAGCAACGCCTCCACGTCCACCGTCAGCTCGATGAAGCGTTCGCAGTAGCGCACGCGCACGCGTTCCACGGGCCCTGAACAACACAAGAACAACAATGTTGACATTAGAAAATTATAATGGATAGTAACCAAAAGGCTCAAGGCTTTTTCCCCTTATTATTATTGAATAATGTTATTAATTAAAACTAATATCCATAGTTTTATTTATATTTCCATATTTAGCTGAAAACTGTCACCGACTACAGTCCTATCTTACGACTACAAGTCCCACTTATCCTAAACCCACGAAATGCTCATGGATGGATTGCACGGCAGACTCCACGGTGTATGAACATGTATTCTTACGGCTGCGCCGGGCTAGATCAGATCCTAGGCATCTGCAAGCACCTATATGGCTCTATACTCCCTGCCTACCTTCTGCCGGTATCGAGCCGAGAACCTTGAGAAACTTCTGGATGATGCCGTGCAGAAATCGACGCTCAAACTTCTGGCAGTCGCGCGTTGCAGCGTCCGCCTTGTCGTCTCTCTTGCGCAGCGCAGTCCAGATCTTCCTCAGTCGCGGCATCGCCTTCAACTCTTGCTCCAGACGAGACTGCGCATAAGAGACTTTGGTTTACGATCCACTGAGGAGGGATAGACCTCAGTAAATTGAGCCTCCACTGAGGAGGTATAGACCTCAGTGAATTGAGCATCCACTGAGGTATAGACCTCAGTGAATTGAGCATCCACTGATGAGGTATAGACCTCCGTGAACTTAGCATCTACTGATGAGGTAGAGACCTCAGTGAACTTAGCATCAACTGAGGAAGGATACACCTTAGTGAATTGAGCATCCACTGAGGTGTAGACCAGAGTGAACTGAACATCCACTGAGGCGGGATAGACTGCTGAATTTAACATCCACTCAGGAGGGATAGACCCCCGTGAACTGAACATTAACTGAGGAGGGATAGAACCCACATGAACTGAGCATCCACTGAGGAGGTATAAACCTCAGTGAATTGAGCATCCACTGAGGAGGGATAGACCCCTGTGAAATTAGCATTCACTGAGGACGTATAGACCTCAGTGAACTGAACATCAACTGAGGAGGGATACACTCCCGTGAACTGAACATTAACTGAGGAGGGATACACTCCCGTGAACTGAACATTAACTGAGGAGGGATAGACCCCCGTGAACTGAACATCAACTGTGGAATAGAACCCCAGTGTAATTAGTAACCCTTGAGGGATAGAACCCCGTGTACTGAGCATCACACCCGCAATACTAAATGTTAATCAACTGAGCTGCTTAGGAATGTTCATGTGAACAGGGAGTACTGCATAGACAAAGTAAGGGGTTGTAACCTTTATTGAGTTAAAGTGCATAAGAAACAATTATATTGGATTTACAGGTTTGTCACTCAACATATATCAATACTTACTATGCCTACAGAAAGCAGACTACAAACTATACTAGCAACATAGGCTACAAACTATATTCGAAACATAGGCTACAAAAAAAAGCAAGACATTTACCGGCAATAGACACTCCCAAATCTGGATGGAGACAACCTTTTGTACTTCCTGTCTGATGATATCTACCTCCTGCGGATCAAAATGCATGTTACATGGAGTAAGTGAAGATAAGGGAGAATGACAGCAGAAGTGAGAGAAATCTCTGCTGTTCTGTCTGTGAAAATATTTTAAACACCTGTGCTTCCTGGTTATAATTTTTATGAATGCAATATTTAAAGTTGTTAAAAACAACTGGAAATCATATTGGATGAAATGCTTACCAGACTGTTGAAGCAATGATTAAGAAACAAGAGCAAATGTGTTTGCTCCACCAAGGTAATGCTGCTTTCATCGGCCAAACTTGCCTCCATCACCATACGAAACAATGGCCCAAAGTCGGGTTTTGCTTTGAAACACTGCAGGATATACACACATAATTTTAGACAAACCAAACTATGCTTGCACTTAGACACGATCGCTATCCATCTACATTATAAACGCTAAGTGAGTTTCACTGTTAAATATGTTGTTGTTTGTATATATTTTTCATGCTTTATTTACTATACTGCCATCTATCAAATCATGCCTTACCCCCCATGCTGGAACACGTTCCCTAAACTTCTCGTTCACCATGACAACGACCGACATCATATGTGCTTGGGTGGTTGTGTCGCTACTAAAGTTTGGCCACAAGTAGTTTTCTAGATATTGACTGAAAATCAAAAAAAGAGAAACCATTCTCATGCAGTCGTCGTACATTAGCATTTAGCATGTAAATTCTAATTTACAGACGTTTTTTTTTTACATGTGGAAATCAATAGGTGTGAAAGTTACATGATAAAATTCATTTGTTAAACATGTAGGTTTGTATTATAATAAACAGCATCAACATGTAACACGTTACACTCTAATTAAAATGCAGAACATCATTGAACAAACAACAATGGGTGCTTTATAGTCTTACCTGAACTCTAACAACATAATTCTTCTATTTGCAAACTTCGTTCCGATGATGTCTCTTGCATACACATCCTCAATTACCTAAAGTATATGAAGTGTGAGTATATCAACATGAAAGCTGCCAAATCAACTATTTACTATATTTTGGGTTAAATATATCGACAGACAAACTACTAGTAAAATAATTTAATGAGGTTTTTAATTATTAAGTAAATGACAATTGTTTTGAATGTAGCAAATCTACCTTAGGCTCAAATTCTGGTCTCCTTGATGGATCTCCTAACCAAAATTTACGAGCTACCTGAAAAATATTTTGTATAGTGTTAGTGTTCTAATTTATGAAATATATGTTGAATAGAAAATATAAATGACCTCATAGCTTTATGCTAGCCGCACACTATACGATTTTGCGCGGGCCGCAGTCGTAAGCCCTCGCACACTATACGACCCGCTCCCGATCTATTGGGAGGCCCCCGCACACTGTACGACTCAAAAGTCAGGGCTAACCATCGCGCTCTCGTGGCGTTCCAAGCGGATTTAGCGCGTATTAAGGGTCGGGAGTGTTTTCCCGCCATTTTTACTGAATGCGGTTCCCATGGCGCTGCTCTGTGATTGGTCAATTTTCTTCAGCGCTCAGCGGCGGGTCGGATGGCCACGGCCTAAAAATTTTTTTGTTACGAGAGCTCTTTTTAGATTTTGTATGAAAAAAGAGCTCTCATAATTTTTTTTACGGGAGCTATTTTAGGCTTGGCCAGAGCTACTTTTTCATAGCATGATTTTGTTAAAATTTTCATAATTTTGATGCACTGGCTTCATTCATCAACATTCAGCACTCAGCACCAGTATCAGACTATCAGTGTTAAGAAATCATCAACAAATTACATTCGATCACATTTTTTTTATCTCGTTTCACTCGACTAAGAAACCAATCACATTCTTATTCAATTTCATTCACACAGACAGACATGCACTACACAGTACACAGAGTCAGGTAACATGACAAAGACAGGAAATCAAGAACTATAATCATGGTAATGATGGTATGGTTATTTTCAAGTTTCTTTTTTTTATTTCATTTCTTTTCATCTTTCAACTTTCTTTTTACATCGACTGAGCAAGTTCAGAACTTCAGAGAGAGTTTTTAGTTACTTTGAGTATGTTAAAAGTACTGGAATCTCTAGGAATGCCGGGAGCTTCTGGGCAAGGTTTTACTTTCGTTTTTCTCCTCCCCAGTCCACGGTACCCCCATGCATAGATCAATGCTGCTGCACATCCGCAAAGTTACAAGTGCCTAGAATCTTTAAGTCTATACAGTTTACATTGCTTCTAGATATCTAACTGAATAAAAATAGTCCACTTTCTACGTTAAGAAAAGTGACGAATTCTGTTAACAGCTTTGATTACGTGCGTGTCAGGTGTCACTGGTCGTGCCCTCACTCCCCACGATAACCCCTGCGATATAAAAACTTATTGTTATGCGGTCATAAAAACACTGGGCTGCACTACATGCCCGCGATGCCGCAATCGATTTCTTAGATTGTCGCGAAATTTTGTTCGTGTGGCGAATCATGCGTTGAGAGAGTTCATGCCCTCGGCTCTAGATGTTTTGGATACCCTGTCTATGTTGAGGAACGAGTCGTATTATGCGCTCCCGTTTACAAGTCTGTCTAAACTGCCGTTGCGCTAACCGTAGTATTTCAGCGTAATATGAGGGGAAAAAGTGCCGACCGGGAGTTTCGTAGAGATGGTGGCCCGAGCAAAAACTTGGTGGGCTCGGGCCTCCGAGTCGGAACTAATTTTGAACGCTGCCTGCGGCACGGGAGCGATTTCTTCTTGTATCTTCCAAAATTTTCGCTCTTGTAATTGTTGTTACCAGAGCGCTTTGAAAGCTGACGGGAGCGAAATCGCTCGCCGCTCCCGTGTATTTTTTTCGCTGCCACGCACACTATCTGAGTCGCGTCGTAAGCCCTCGCACACTATACGACCCGCTCCGCTCCCGATTCAAAATTTGAATCGGCCCAAAATGACCTCCCGAGCCAAACTTAAGCCTCTCGATCCAAACGTAAGCCTCCCGATCGCGCTCGGGTCGTATAGTGTGCGGCTAGTATTAGCCACAGCAAATAGCAAATTCAATAATCACTAGATGTCACTGATGCTAATTTGATGATAAAGCAGTCACACAACACACTCCAGACGTTTACAGACATTACATTACAGATGTGTCTATAATACACTAATTAAATTTTCAATGTGCAAAGGTGCATGAACATGCATATCAAATAAAATGGTTATTAAAACGGCATGTTCTCACAGCAAAATGCATATATATAGATATGTACCTAAATTGTGACATTTGTTTAAATCACGTTATCTACATTACTTAAATGCAATCAGCAAACAAATATGGTGTTTTCTTTCCAGGAACTATTTGCGCTAGCATAGGCCTACTGTTAGCGTTCTCAGTCACATTGCTCTGTATCTGTATGCCGAAACTTTGTCCGGAGTTTCAAAATAGCATGAAAATAGTCAACTTTGGAGCACATTTCTAGCTCAATAAGAACAGTTCGTGATGTTTGCATGTACTGCAAGTATGCTCACAGTAGGCTTGTTTTTGTGAGGTTTATCCATTTTAAGTGTAGAGCGAGTTTACCACATACCTGTGTTAACACATCTTGCTGCATCTGCTCCACAGTCGGAGCCGGTCCCAACTTCTTTGGACCCATGTTGTCCAGTTATTGTCAACTTTATTTTTCAGGACTTTTGGGTTAGACAGCCTCCACTCGTTTCCTGAAGTTGATGCTGGTTAATTTTGGTGAGAGACTGTGCCCTGTAATTTATGTGGAAATACATATATAACTATAATGGAAATGTGTACGCTAATTGTTTGTAACACTAAAACCTTCCAATAAATAATTGTATGCAGATTGTGTCACACATGCAACCATTCCAGTTGCTCGCACATCAACTGTCATTCCCACAAAAATATACAACTATTAAAATCTGTTTGTTTACATCACATCTGATCATGTTGACACAGTTACTTGATAATGATAATGATATGTATACTTTGATATGGTAACTTGAATTAAGCAGTAGAGATGTTGTACCAATCGAGAACCACTACGTCACTCAATGAGATACACTTTTGTCTGGTGGTTGCCGATTTCAAGCAAATTGTCTCTATATATGTCGCTGCATTGACATTGTCATTGTTTGCTATTTTTATTTTTATAATTTATATACCAATTGCCATAACAGCATAAATTCATTATTTTTTTTATACTAGAGTAATCAGTAACGTGTTCTCTATTGGGCGAAACTATATTTCGCTATATGTTTCTCGATTGTGCAGTTATTTATGAAATAATTTCTTGAATATTGGTCTACCTTGTTTGGCTCATAGGGTCTATGTCCCCCAGGGTACTGCCGGAACGTACCCTGGGTACGGTCCGGTATACCGGAACGTACCCTGGTAACTATCTGATATGGTTAGGGTTAGGGTTAGAGTTATGGTTAGGGTTAGGGTTAGGGAGTAGGCGTAGGCGACTCCCTAGACTCGTTAGTGGAGTAGGCAAGGTACGGTCCGGCATATTAGATAGTACCAGCAGAGCATATAAAACCCGTTGATTTATATGCTCTGGTACCTGCAGGGTACGTTCCGGTATACCGGACCGTACCCAGTGTACGTTCCGGCAGTACCCTAGGGGACATCACAGGCACTTGGAACGTCTCAATAAAAATTAAAAAAAGTAAATAAACACGAAATGTACCAAAGTCTTAATGTTGCTCTACTCTATTTCGCCTATAATCACCTGTAAATGCTGGTAAAATGCTCATCTGCAACACACAAGCAGAGATACAAGTACACCGCACGCCCGCCCTGTGCTGCGTGCACAAACAACATGAATAAGAGAGTTCATATTCATGTATCTTATTCATATTCATATTCATATATCTTATTATATGTTATTCATCACTCTCGAGTCTTATTCATGTTGTTTGTGCACGCAGCACAGGGCGGGCGTGCGGTGTAATTGTATCTCTGCTTGTGTGTTGCAGATGAGCATTTGACCGGCATTTACAGGTGATTATAGGCGAAATAGAGTAGAGAAACATTAAGACTTTGGTACATTTTGTTTATTTACCTTCTTTTTTTTTTGAGACGTTCCACGTGCCTGTGGGGGGTACATAGACCCTCTCAGCATTACTAATACTAATACTAATAATACTTAATACTAAGGCCATGAGAATTGAGGTATGAGTTTACCGTCCGAGATACTTTGAAAAGTAAGGAGGCTTTTTTCATTTTTCATTTTTCATTATTCATTTAATATTTGTAGTTAACCCATTGTTCATGAAAATGCACGTTTCTTGCACATTTTTCGGGATCGGGCTGTAAGTCGATGTACTCAGGATACGTCAGCATGCTTTTGCGCCCTAAACCAAAACCAAACCCAAGGTCTCAAAGAGCCAGAGGGGGATCAGGACCCCAATGAAGGATGTAAATAGGCCCTATAGCGTTTTTGTATTAGTAATCACTAATGTATGTTTTAATCGCTCTGAATCAGTGAATGGACAACTTGGGTTTTAATGATTTAAAAATGAAAATAATGAAATACTTTTGAAATAATGAATATTTTCGGCGGTGGCTCTGACGGCATGCGGGCGGTGGACGGTAAACTCATACCTCAATTCTCATGGCCTAATAGTAATAGTAATACTATACTTACTAATAAATAATTACTAATACTAGTACTAGTACTACTGGCGCCGGGTCCACTCGTCCCATAGCAGTGTCGTCCCATTGACGAAGTCGGCCTATTACAGACTCGGCCGATACGGACTCGGCCCATAATATAATATATATATGTTAAACAGAATCATATATGATTTTAATTCAAATAAATACTATATATAGCAATAACATTATGTGTTGGTGTATGTATAATTTAGATTAGATTATATTACTATAATTATTGTATGACTATTATTACACGGGTTTTCCATTAATAATGGAAAGATGGCTGCGCCCTGTAGATATGGTTTTTGGTCTAGCTCTTGACTTGTTTTAATGTTTATTGAAACCGATTCGCACAGTGCCATTTTCAAAAACATCATACGTAGACTATTATTTCCATACAATAATGAAAATTATTGTATATATGTAATTCTAGAGTCTTGTATTGTTGCATTACAAATTTTCGTGACAGTTATAACTATATATTTTATTATTAACTTAATTAAGTTGCTAAGGCTTAAGGCTATATTATTTAGTTCATAACTACTCCAGTACTTTATTATCTGAAGCTAGCTGAACTAATTCTCCTTGCAGCGTACTTCTTTATCTGTAAAATGTTTCGTAGGCGTAGGCGTAAGATCGAATACACCTCCATGCACAGGCACTTGGGACAGAGTCAGTAAAAACTGGAAATAATATGAACACACATTCACAAATAGGCCCTACTACCGTACCTCTCAATTACAGTTCCACTGTTACGTCACTGTATATCAACTTTCCTTCATAAAAACCTATGTGAAGACTAACGCCGAACGCTCCCGCACTCGCCGCTACGAGTGTGCTGTGACGCTATGATAATATGTAGCCTGTCAGATCAAAACATGTCGTAGGACTCAATTCGGACATTATGAGTTAGTAGTACGTTTTATCAGAAAGACCATTCAATTCTGGTTATTTCGACACCAAGATCTTCTTCCTAGGTCACATGGTTCGGAAGTTATGAGCATTTGAGTAGTTGGAATCGGGCCGATTTTGGAAAACAAAGTTCAGAGTAATTAGGTCATAAAGTTAAAGTTTGTTTTCATTTGGCCTTCATTTGGACAAAAATCTGAAAAAATATCTTCCCATTGAGCTAGACACATGAATTTTTGCATGCACGTACCAGGCGTAATACGCTGTGGCTATATTTACGGAGACGTAAATACGTTTATTTTTTCTATATTTACGGATTTCCCATCATGCAAAGCGCCGCGGACAAGTGCCAAGTTGCCAACCATAATGCACTGCGAAACTGGAATAAATAAGTCAATAAGACACGTGACCACTATTAAATCACTACCGGTTCATTACCCTGTTAGGTTAGAGGATGTGACGCGTCATCGGCCGACCAATCGGAGTGCCCGCAGCTTGTGCACTAAAGCTGACACGATGTTTTGTGGCTGCATTATTTAGGCTGGCTATCGTGTGTGTCAATGACATCAGGAGTCTATCAAACATAGCAAACAACTAGCAAGGTTTGCCAGGGATTTCGGAAAGTTAAACATGACTTGGTCAGGGTTGAAAATACTTTTCTAACATCGGTGATCCTGCAGGATCACCGATGTTATAATATTGGTGATCCTGCAAACATTTTGGTGATCCTGCCGAAACGCAT